CCGCCGGGAGAGCTCGCGCTGGGTTAGCCGCGGTAGTGCCCCCGACGCGGCTCCGCCCCGGGAGGTGAACACAAACGACATTGCTGGTTTGTTTGTTTCTTTCTAACTATCCGAAAGGAGGTTGTAGTGGGATGGGGGTTGGTCTCTTCTGCTAGGCGTGCAGAGAGGAGACTGGAAATGGCTTTGAGATGAGACAAGGGAGATTCAGGTTAGATATTAGGCATTTTCTTTGCCTATTAGGGTGTTCAGGCATTGGAATATTGCCCAGGAGGTGGTGGAGTCACCATCCCTGGAGGTGTTTGAGGTGTCTGGACCTGGCACTGGGTGATATGTTTACTGGTTTAGGGTTGCAGTGGTAGTGCTGGTGGATAGTTGGACTGGATGATCTTAAAGGTCTCTTCCAACCCTGATTCTCTGATTCTGTTGGTCGCACTTTGGGAATTTTTGGATGAAAGCACAGCACAGCGGTGCTGGAAGTGCTCATGCCTTGTGACACACCTGTGAGCCTGTGGATGTGTGTTTTCCCCACTAGACCATGTCTGACTGGGCCCCCATAGCCAAGGAGTATGATCCCCTCAAGGCTGGCAGCATCGACGGCACGGACGAGGAGCCCCACGACAGAGCCATATGGAGAGCCATGCTGGCACGGTATGTTCCCAACAAGGGAGTCACAGGAGATCCTCACCTCACCCTGTTCGTGGCAAGGCTCAATCTTCAGACCACAGAAGAGAAGTTAAAGGAGGTTTTTTCCCGGTATGGAGACATCACAAAGCTCCGTCTGGTCCGGGACCTGGTGACAGGATTTTCCAAGGGTTATGCCTTTATCGAGTACAAAGAGGAGCGAGCGCTCCTGAAGGCCCACAGAGATGCCAACAGGTTGGTCATCGACCAGCACGAGATCTTTGTAGACTTTGAGCTGGAAAGAACTCTCAAAGGGTGGATTCCCCGGAGGCTTGGAGGTGGGTTTGGAGGCAAGAAGGAATCCGGGCAGCTGCGCTTCGGAGGACGGGACAGACCTTTCCGCAAGCCCATCAATCTGCCCAACGTGAAAAATGATTTCTATGGAGAGGGATCAGCAGAGAAAAGGAACTGGTCCCGTGAGGGAACGAGGGACTGGAGAACGAGGGACCGTGACCATGAGAGGGGCAGAGACAAGCGCTGGCCGGAGAGGGAGCGGCCGTGGGCTTGGGGGGACGGGGACAGGGACTCCAGGGAGGACAGGAGCAGAGGGAGGGACAGGAAGGACAGGGACAGGAAGGACAGGGACAGAGACCGGAGCAGGGAGAGAGAGACCAAGAAGCAAAGAGATGATGACAAGCACCGATAGGTGACTGTGTCACCTCTTACATCTGCAGTGTTTCAGTCTCGGGTGCTGCAGCTCAGGGCTGTGAGCAGCATTCCCAGAAGGAGCTGTGGTGTTCCTGTCTCCTGCCTGTGACTCCCTGTTGGGAGTTTGGTTGTTATTGCAGTGTCAGATATGTGCTGAATTGTTCTTCAGAGGAAATAAAGTTTTACATTAGGTTTGAGTGGTGAATGCTGTAGGAAACACACCACATGTACAGGTGTCCCACTGATCCCAGCAGAGCCCTGTCTGGGACTGTGTGTCTCCTGGGTTAGGGCTCACTGGAGGGCTCTGCAGTCAGGTATTGATGGGCTGGATGGTGGTGAGGAAGCTGCTCTTGATAAAACAGTCACTTGTTGGACACACACTAATGTAACTGCAGCAAACTAAAGCTTCTGAGAAATGTGCCCCACAACAGAAGCTGATGAAAGTGACTTCATTTACTTGAAGACACTGAGACAGGTGAGAGCTTTAGTGATACTGTGTCCATAACCAGTTCTGCCAAGGGAGAGAGAAGCATGTAACCAATCCATGTTGTGTGCTGTGGAAGGGTATAACTCCTGTGCACACGAGGAATGTGCACCACAGAGCAGTGAGTGGGTGAGAAAACACATCCTGTCCCTGATGAATCCAGTCACTGAGGGATGGTGCCATGGGTAACCGTGGCTGCAGCTGCACCTGCTCTGTCCTCTCCTCTCTTCACAGGGTTTAAATCCGTGCAGGAACCTGTGCTTGCTATGGAAAACAGGGCAAAGCATCTCCTTTTTAGAGTCAGGACATGTATATACAGACACATCTCCTGCTGGGGAGCTTACAGTGCTTTCTGGTTCTGTCACATTCTTTGTCATCATAAGCCATTTGTAAAACACATATAATTTAGACTGGATTCTGTCAGCCTTTCAGTAGCTTTATCCTGAACCTTGTCCACTCTGAGGCTGTTTCCATAGAGAGTTGTGAGCAGCTTGACCTGTATGCTGCATCCACGAGAAGTGATGGTATTAACCTTCCACAAAGGACCCAAGTCTTGCAGAAATTCGTGTTTTTCAGAAATATTTATTAAACTGTTAAAAGGATTTACTGCCCAACCAAAAAAAAAAATAATAAACCAACCCAAAAAATGTCAGTGGTCCTGCACTTGGCAGGCAGGACCGTTACACCCCTCACCTGCCTCCATCCTGGCCCCTTTTCCAAGAGCAGATTTTCCTTGAACACTGAGAAAACAATACATGACAGACCTTCAAATCCTCATGTACACTCCCCTGCACACCATCCCTTCTGATGGCACTTGGGGAACAGGAACTCAGCATGGCAGACGTGGGAACGAGGAGCAGAGTGGTTATTGCCAGCAGGGCAGGGGGAACTAACGAGGGTTTTGAGGTAATGAGCTGCAGAGATGAGTGGGGGAAGGTTGTCCTGCTCAGTGCTGTGGTTGGGTGTTGGCTGCAGGTTTGGCCTGGCAGTGGTGCCACAGGCTGTGGTGTTCAGGACAGGCTCTGTGTGCCCCAGGCTGGAGTTGTCCTCTGTGACACACCAAGCTTGGGTTTAGTCTGTGGTTCCATTATCCCAGCTCAGTGCTCTCAGCTGATTTCCAAAGGGATGTGCTTACTCAGGCTGTGCAGTTCTTGCTTTGTTCCTGCTCTCTGTGTCTCTTCTGAATGTGCCACACGACTGCACTGTGCTGGGGAGAGGCTCCAGGGGCCTGATGGAACTCTGCTCTGCTTTCTGTTTCCTCATATGAAGTGAAGCCAGATCTTGGCAACTGAAGTATCATTAAATGAAGACACTCCTTCCATTTAAGATCAGGGGGAAGTGCTGCTGTGTTATGGATGTCACCAAAACACGCCCAGGCAAAAGCAAATCTGCCCAATACCTGGGTCAGGTGCTGCTGTCACCATGTCAAGTGCAGGTGCCATGTAAGGCCACACACCCCCTGCCCCAAGCTGCAGTGGCACCAGGGGGGCACAGTAAACACTTTCTCTGTCTAGAACAGGTGGAAGTGTTCAGAGTGAAGCAGTTACAGCCAGGAGCAAGGCAGTACACATCTCACCACGGCAAGGAACAGTTTCCTGTCAGGATTTCACTACAGATGGGCTAAGAACACGTTCCAGAATCCAGTCTTGGATCACCCTGTGTGAAATACAACTGGCCTGCACTAAACCCTTTGGCTTGCTCTCATTTAGTCCTTTGACAGCTCCTCCTACACTCAGTTCTGGAGTAGTTGGAGCTTTACTCCAGCCTGAGTAGTATTTCCTGCTCTTAGTTCCCCTCTTGAGAGGAGCAAAGTAGTTGGAGCTTTACTCCAGCCTGAGCAGTATTTCCTGCTCTTAGTGCCCCTCTTGAGAGGAGCAGTTACAGTGCCAAGAGCAGCTCCCAGCCCCTGGCACTGAGCTGCATGTGCAGAAGCTGCCACAGCCCTGTCAGCACTATATCCTCCTCAGCAGAGACCTCAGTTTGTCCTCACCCAGAGCTGCAGATGCACTCACCTTCTGCCACCTGCTCAGCTGCCTTATGCAGCTGTACAATACAGCTATGCTGTGTGGAGTGTTAGTGTTCTAAGGACAACCTTGGTCAGACCTGGAGTCTCACAAGCTCAGCTGAGAAGCAGGTTAAATCCCAGCCCCAGGCTGCAGGGCCACCAGCCACCAGCCACGAGCAGAGCAGCAGCCTGCACACATGGAATTCATCTGCTCTGCACACGTAGTGTTTAGTCAGGGAAAAAGTATGGAGTTGGGGAATCTCTAGTCAGTGAAATAGTCCATGTCAGCCAGCTGAGGATGTTTCCCTCTGAAGTTGGGCACAGTCTGACCTAGACAGGAAACTGGAGTGTGACTTAATTAAAAACCTGTCTGTGGGAAAGAGCTAATTCCTTTCCAGCAGCTGCCTGCTACACTGGGGGGAAAAAATCCCTGCTGAGAAGGGAAGAAATCAGGAGTTGGAATTCCTCCCTGTAAGCAATTTGTTTTCCATTAATACTGCAGAAGTCATGGCAGAACACAAGGCACACTCACCTCCCACATCAGTTCTTCATGCTTTAGGCACTGTAAGCACAAGGGAAATGTACACTCACTGTCCCTCTCAAGGCTACTCCAGTTTATCACTGTACCAGGTGGTTTTCCACGGGGTTCCGTGGGTTACATGCCACGAGGGTATGCAGCTGTTGTATCCCTCTGGAAAAACTTCTTACAGAAATAAAAAGCAAACAACCAATAGTGTTAACAAACAGGGTAAAAGAGTCTTTGCCACTAGATATTGTACACTGCAAACGAACTCCTAATCATGGCACAGGTCCTTTTTTTTTTTTTGGTTTAAAGAAGCTTTGTGTTACTGTAGTTAATGCATGAACAAGACCATGGACTTGTTATTCTAGAAGCTTCCATGTCCCAGGGTGTCAGCAACTGCTACTACAAAGCTTGGGTTGTGCTTGCAGCAAACAGTCCCCAGGTGAGCAGGGAGGGATCCCTTTGGAGAGCCTGGAGCAGCCCCGAGGAGCGTGAGGCAAGTCAAGAGTGAGGAGCTGCCGCGTCGCTGTACAGAAGCTTCTCGTGACGAGACTGTCGAGATCTACTGCAGTAAACAAACACCTCAAGGCTTCAGTCACAGGTGTTGCAGAGCTTCTTGTCCTTGTTCAGTGTAGGAGTCATCTCTGTTTGAGTTTGACCATTCTCCAAAAGTCCCCTGGAAGTGGACGTGTTTCTGTGACACCTGCATACGCTTCTTGTCACGAGAGAAGAAACTAAACCTTCCGGGGAGGGAGGAGTGAGGGAGAGGAGGGAAAAGAAAGAAGACTGTTTACCATCTTGAAAACACCTCAGGCACCCACCGTGACACACAGCACCACAAACACAGAGCAAAGAGATCTGTTTGCATCTGCAACACATCCAGGCAGAGCAGCCCGAGGGGAGAGCATGTCAGAGTGCTGTTAGGGATGAAGTCATGGCAGTCTCAAGCAGTTTGGCTAAGGAAGCTTCAAATAAGCTCTAAATGCTGTTGACTCTACAAGGTGCACATATCATTTAGAGGTACATTCACCCTTCCCCAGCCCTCAGGTAACAAAGCAACATGAGACAAGTTAGTTTCTTGCCACAAGTAAAGTGGTATCTTTGGCCTTAAATCTGTACGTTTTACCAAAAAGAAGAAACAGAATTTTTTCAAGGTGTCAGCAGGGATCTTATGACTAAGATAAGTCTCCACATCTTTTCCAAGTGTACAGATTTTGATACATAGACTTGATTCCTGCTAAATGCACCCGTGTGCAGCAGAGCTCTAAGGAAGGGCACACGAGTGTGGATATCACTTCCCATCACACAGCCTCGGTGGTCCACGAACCAACAGCCATTTAACACAGCAGCAAATTGCCAGCTAAAAAAAAATACAGCTGGCAAATCCTTAGTATGATTTTAGTTGGATGAAGTTATTTGGTTAGGTAAATCCGACGTCTTTCGGTCCGAGCGTTAGTGCAGTGTTTAGGTGTGCTGAGGAATGCAGAAGTTGTGGTTCCAGCTGGCAAAGGACTGAGCTAGCTGTGTATACTTGTGTTTTCAGTGCTGCATTTCAGGAGGTGAAGATTGTTTTGCCTACACTGTACCAAGTGTAACACAGTTGTGATCCAGGACAGGAACTGGTAAATACTTCCACAGGAAGGGACTATGCAAATAGAAACTCAGCTTTGGCAGGTGGTGGGACATTTGTCAGGGCATAAACTTGACCCACCATCCCTACCTGTCCATATCCCACGATCCTCACCATCCTTCCTCTCCCCTCAGCACCAGGATCCCAACAGTCCCAGCTGCCTTGTGCAGAGCAGGGAGTTTGCCTTTGGAGTCTGTCACACAGGGGCCTGGATGTGTGTGTCAGGTGAGGCTGAAGGCAGTTTTCCTGGGAAAACACTCTTACCCATGCAGGTGAGCACAGTGATAACTACAGAGAATATGAAGAATAATTCCTTGTTGACTAGAGAGTGATACAAAGCACTACACAAGTGCAATGCAGGTAACTAAGGTTGCCAGCAGGACCTGAACTTTTGCATTTCTTGCCTTCAAATGTGCAGCCTTAATAGTGAAGTAAGTTGGTTGCACTTCATTAGCCTCATATTTTTCTACCACCTGAACACAGGAACTCATGAATTCACACACAAACACTATGTCTTTTTGGGGCCAGATCCAGTTGCAGCTGATAATAGAAGTGTTTAGTGACCAAGGTTTTCTGGTGAGTTTGGTCCTGCATGGTCAGGGTTACTGAAGCCCACACAAAGCACTGCTGTGTTTATCCAGTTTCAAATATCAAAGTTCAGTCATTTTTCACTTTATCGTGAAATTAAGCAAGAGAAAAATATGTTTGTAAGAGCTCTAAAAGGTTTGGCTTTTTTAAGTCCTCCTGAAACAATGAAAATTGTTGTTATGCCTGGAAAATTCTCATGAAGGATGTTTAGAAAGAGCCTGTGTGGAAGGAAGGGAATTTATATACTGTGTTGCTGCTGTAAGGAAAAAGATCACTAAAGCAGCAGCTCTAACACAAAGAGACTTTGCATTAACAATTATCAGTACATGTTCCAAGGACAGCCAAGAATGGGATGACAGAATGGATTATGGAGAGTGTACACTCTGTGCCAAACTACATAATTAGAGACAAAATATACAGGGCATAGATAGAAAGACATGGAAGCAACAGCCTGTAATTAACACTGGAAATTAATGTAGAAATCAGCCACTCCATTGTGTAACTCTAACTCACTGAGAGTAACAAGTCATTAGAATGACATGAGTTTCTTTGAAAGCACTGGTGAGAACTGTGAATAGCCACACTTAGGAAGCAGAATTAAGAGATGCTGGTTAAAACTGCAGATTGCACTGATTTTCCAAGGAATCCTCATTGGTTTAGCATGGTAACATTAAGGCAAAAGGTGAAAAAGTGTCAATATTGAGGATGAGGGGTCGAGCACTGACTGGTCATTCTGCTTGGCACTTTGATCCTCTGTGATTCCACAGGCAGCCAGGAGAATGCAACCAGCAGTGTGTGTTAACACAGGGTCATGCAAGAGGAAACCACAGTACCAAACAGTGAAAAAAAATTCCTACAAGGGACACAAGTCTTCTTATTGGCTGCAATGTGGGATCATCTGGAATCAATCCAGCTGCTACCATGGGCATTATGGCTGTAAAGATCCTGGTCAGGAAAGTACAGACACAGAAGAGATAAGACTGGAGCAAGGGAAAGAAAAAGCATTCCATTAAAAAGAAAAGAGGCAAACACCATCCATGGGGTTACTCTCAATCCCAACACAGGACATGTTACAGGGGGAGGTGGATCTGCATCACCCAGGACAGCTCTCCTCAGTGAAAAACTCTTCCTTACAGAAACCAGGCATTGCAACAGTCTCAATGGCTTTTGGAGTCCTGAAAGATACCACTTTCCTGTTGTGAGGCAGCCTGCAACCTGGCTTGGATCTCACCCAGTATTACCACCTCTAGCAATGCAGAGCAGAGTGCAGGTTTCTCTTCCCAAGAGCCAAACACAGGCACAGACACCATGAAATGAAGGATGAAGGTGTATGTTAAGAACTACAAAACAGGACTCTGCTGTGACTACTGGGGACTGGCACAGAGAACAGGGTTAGAGGACCAGCATTACAGTTAAGGGTTTTACAAAGGTTACAGCTGACAGTTCAAGTTAAAAACCAGTTTTGCAGGTGAAATCTTGAAATAACCTCCTAAGAAGCTCCGTGGTTAAAGGGCCTGGGTGTCTGTTCCAAACCTGCATCGCTTCACGTGCACAAAGATGCCAACTGCAGGCAGCTGGATGCTGATGGGAAGCCTTGCACTGCCCTGGCAGAAAGCCTTTGGAGCTGGCTCACAGCAAGGCTGGGTCTTTGTGAGGGTTCAGCACTGCACATTAGGCAATTCATGCAGCTCAGGGGCTGAGAGAACACAGAGCTGTGTGCCCCACACACACCTCCATCCGTACCTGGAGCACCCTCTGTTTGTCTAAGGATTCTCCTCACAGCTTCTCCCTTGTGCCAAATATTTTTTTGAACTGTGGACTAATGTCAATTAAAGATGAAGTTGAAATCACGAGAGACATTTCACTTGTGACCAAATCCAGCTCTCCCCAACAGCCACTAACTGCTATTCTGAGACTGAAAACGACAACTAACGAACGAACAAACACTCTTGGATCATTAGCAGCAACCAGGATTTCTATTTCTGTGCACTGTGGCACAGTCCTGAGCTGCAGAACTGCCACACACACATCAGCTTTGTCGACTGCAAGAACAGGAAGAAAACTTGTGGCTGTTTGAGGCATGACATCAGTGACAAACAGGCACGTAGCCTTAAGGAGAAAACAAAAGGGCGTTTTCTGCTCCAAACAGAGGGAGCATTTTTAATCCTTGGACTTCTCCTCCTCAGTAAAGCCTCCTGGTTACATTATTTCATTAAAACTCTGCCATGTGATGTGGGAGAGACAAATGTAGAACTCAGTCAGTCTGAATCAGAACTCAGAGTTTGCCCCAAACGTGCCAAGCCAGGAAAAAAAAAGCAGATTTCTGTGACTTCTGTTTTTCCTTGCTTTGTGGAGATGCAGCACAGGATCACCTGAGCACATCCTGAATGGCACAGGCTACATGTACATGTGGCTCATCCCCTCAGACACTGTGTGGTCAAGGGAAAAAGGGCACATTGCACAGGCAAGAGGACAGGAACA